CCGGAAGGTGCATGCTGGAAATGCTTTTTGCCATTAGCTCAATGTTCATAGAAGTACCCAGTTTTGTGATGTTGTGACCCACTGACAATTGCAGCGTCGATGCCTCGCAGAAACATGATGGGCTGTCTCACAGACCAAAAAATGCAAAGCGAACAATAATTAGAGGACCCTTGACGAAACTTTCCATATCCAACGACGTTTAGGCGTTCATAGTTGGTAGAGGCCAGCGCTTGTAATTGAGAGCGCGAAGACTACGGTTGCTACCCTAAAGAAAGGATAAGGAATACTTCTTGCAAATCATATTTAGTACGGTTTGATAAGTACCTCTTAACAGTTCAAATTGCAACGTGCCCCACTTACTTACTGATTACTGATTGATTGATTAGGTCCTTACTGTTACTGATAACTTATCAGTATCAATCAGTAATCAGTACTGATTGATAACTGACTAATTGTTGGGATGTCTGTTGGCTAGGCGATCTACTGAGGCGCTTGGTATTCAAAAGTTGAGCCGCCCGCCAGATATTGATAAAGTGTGGCGTGAGAGCAGCTTCACACTTCGCCAGACTGATTCCGCAGGATACTGTTGGTATCCTTACCCGCTGAGCCTTCAGATGCAGCCATCAATGCAGGTGGCTATCAGGGAGGCAGATGCTGCGCTTTCGGAGATTGTCGAACTGATATTAAACTATCTACATCCCGACGATAACGGCACCGCCGCTGTATCCAAGCCGGGTTATGCATTGGAGCTCTACGACGCTTTGCTCAATTGGAAATACGGGCTTCCCGATGAATTGCGATTTGAGCAGTCTGTGCTGCCGTCCGTCATTGCTTTGCAGTAAGTCGACCGCCCCAAAGTTTTACAGAGACGCACAATGACTGAAAACTGAATAGCATCCACCTGGAGACGGTAGCATGACTCTCCTACGTCCATTTACTCATATGACAAAACAAGAGTTTGGCCGATTCAGCCCTCGGGAGCGATGTGCCGCACATGCCAGCCATCTGGTGTCGACGGTCTGGTCATTTCGCGCCCATGGCCAAGTCCGCTACGAGTACTACCTCGCTTACGCTCTGGGAGCCGCTGCCTACGTCCTGTTGCAAGAGCCAGACGCGCCTGTGCAAATGGACTCGCTGGTCCGTGCTTGTCAGTGCCTCTTTGAGATGCACCCGACGTTGCCGCCGGCGGCCGATACTCTGAGCGGTAGCCGTGCTGCGTTTAGGCTGTATAGGCTGGCGGTGCCAATGTACATGGTGAAGTATTTATATCGGGTGCATCATAACGAAGCTGGCGTGTTGCATCGTACTGTAGCTGTGACAGGCTTGCTACCCGTTGCTGGCGGCAATGACAACGAGGCTAAGCGAGCTGATTTACAGCTTGAGGAGCTTATGAGGGACTTTGGCGATGTTGAGATTCACTAATCGAATAACTTTAGTCGGAAGATGGCGCTCTTGCTTGTGAGTAATCAGAAAGACATGTTCACAGTCTAAACTTGACCAGATGAGTTGTCAATAGTGCTCTAAAGTTGGCTTGGTGCGAAAGAAGTTTAATTCCTACTGTCTTTCAGTCTAGAAGGATGCTCATTTACATTCATTCTACCATGTTGAGTATGCTTGCCCGCCAGTAAACCATCAAAGTAGCTTACAGGCCGGCCGCTGTACCCCGCGTCGTTCGTATGTAGCACCCCTGACTCAGCCTCATGTGAGTCAAGCAAGCCTCTTCTTTACACGCACACATACATGTCTTCTGATGATTACAAGGAGTGCCTGAAGGCGGGACGACCATTGCTGCTGTGGAATGGGAAGCAAACACCCAGCAATGGCGAAATGCAAGTACTTCGGTTCCCCGTCGCGGGCTTCACTAGCATCAGCAGTTAACCCCGCTGTGAACTTCGCGGCTGGAGCAATAGATTGGAGTGACCGCCTCCTTTGGTAGGATCGGATCTCAATACCGGCTACTAATTCGCTTGCTCACCGCCGACGATTTATAGACCTTTTCCATTCGACATTATAGGGTCCGTAGGCTCGTCTTCGTCCGATGTCTGACAGTTGGGGGCAAATTGCACGGGGCCCTGCACGTCTCCGACTGCTCGCCGGCGCGGGAGATGCATCTTGAGACTAATCAGTGCCAGAATCCCGCTGGCCTTGGAAACTATCTGCATCGCTTGACCAGCCGTCGTGATTGGTCTATGATTTCGGATGCATGGGATACAACGAACTCCCTCGTTAGTTTTTGCAACTCGCTCTACGAGCCTCGCTCGCCTTCAGTCCGTTAGCTCTCTACCACTTTGTACGGTCCCCTTCTTCAAAGGCTACGTGAACACGTGCTACTCTAGCAATCTGTCACCCGGCATCATCTAAAGATATTTAGCGCCAGAGATACAGTATTGAATTATCGACTCGGAGTGTTGTGACAAGTGGTGAGTGTGTCAAATACAATGAAATACTGGCCATACTCCAATCGAGCATGCACTGGCGCCTGGCCTTCATCCCATTTCAGGCGAACGCTACCCTGGCTGCCAAGGCGCGCACCACGGGCGGCTGGCGTGTGCGACTGGTGTATTCTCTGGAGGTGTCAGCTCCCCTGTCTTGTACCTTTACCTGAAGCGGTTGCAATGTACACGCATGTACAAGAAGAGTGCCCTTTGATGCTCTGGCACAGAACTGTGTTGCATAATCCCGACGGTATGAGCTACTTGATGCTCCCAGTGTGTGCAGCTGGCGCGCGTGACTAGTGTAGAAGAAATCCGGGTACGCCAACACTATCCAGGGACGGTATCCTTCCTATCCCGAAACAACGGCTGGAATAGTCCATAGTATGACGGGTTATCAACTCGCCAATGGAAGAAAATGGCATGCGTATGACCTCCCGGTGCCCATGCCAAGTTCTTGTAAGAGGCCACCAATTGCCACGAGCTGTGACTAACCACCCGTACGCTGTGTATCGTCTTCCTCAGGCTGATGCGATCGTAGTAACAGCTCGTGCTACCCAATTCAACAAAACTCAATTTTGCAGAGTGCACAAACGGCAGTGTTGCTGCTTGCTTTCTTCAACTTTCATGACATCGGCGCAGTCATCGTGTCAGGCATACATGTAGCCCACATCTGCGATCGGGGTATGGTGGACTACTTTGGTGCGTCGCCGGTATTACCTAACCAGTTAGGTGCTTGTTGAAACGCCACCCTGGATGCTGGCGACCCCTAGAATCTACCAGGGCCTTCAACCAGCAGAACACATTGTTCGCCCTAAAATGTGTTCAATCATTACGCGCATGCTGGAGCAAACCAGCTAGTATGTTGGATTTGGTCCAGTTCCGCCTACATAATTCACCAAAGTGAATCTTACTTGCGCACTGTTTTTGCATGGTCCTCCTGGGGAGCAGGTCGCCTGTGTCTAGAGCAGAAACAGCACAGGAGCTGAACAACACATATTATACAAGAACTGGGATCTGCTGTATCAAATCGATACTTCGGCCTAGACATCGATGCAAGCATCAACTTGCTGCAGCGTTGAGCAGGAACTGGCGCTGCCAAATTCAAGGTACGCTCTCAGATAGACACGGTCTCAAACTCTCGAACAACGAGCCTGTCGAGTGCGCTTGCCAGTCCACATGCGTCCAACGTCTGGTTGGCGCGCTTCATCCACATGCAAGCCTCATCACCATGCGCAGTCCCGAAGAAGCTCCCTAGGTCGTGGTCAGCAAGGCGCTGACTGGTCAGAACGTATAACGGACTACAAAATTACTTACTCATAACGCGCCTCTTGCATCGGTTTCCATTTTCTCCTTGGCGCAAGTTTTTGGTTCGGCGAGTCGGCGAGTAACCTCGCGAGCGAAGTCAATGGCAAATGCTGGAAACTGCCGCAGCAACTCATGCCAGCCCGATAAGGTAGTTATATCCTCAGCTGCGCAAGCCGCAAATTGCGCCACGAGCTGTCGTATCGCATGGCCCTCAGTAGCACGATTGTCATACAGATGTTGAACAAGTCTTTCGAATGTCCGCATGAACGTATGGACCAAGATAACCCAGTGAGCCAATCTTTTCACCAAGATTTTAACAAGCCAATTCCATCAATGGCAAAATAGCGTACCGTTGAGCAAATGCCCACACCCTAGCATGGCCAATGAGGTCATTCCCGCAACTTAAACCCTGACTCTGAACCTGGAGGCGCCTTTGCTGCCCTTGTGCTGGAAACTCGACGTGGCTGCTCTCGCCGTCAATGAATTTGACAATGGTGTCCATTCTCTTCTGGCTAGCTCTTTGAGATCACAAGAACACGAAGGGGGGCTAAATTTGCGCTTAGATGGAGCTAGGACGCCCTGCTTGTTCTGCTTACAGAGGTCGCAGCAGGCATTGCGATCAGCCCAGCCAGCAGCCGCGGCTATGTACGATGCGTTGATATTGCATGCAAAGCGAGTTGGTTTCGCGCGTTCCGCGCTGTCTCCCGTCATAACAGTGTTTTCAGTTGCACTAGCGTCATCTGGAGCGAACCCTTCGTAAGAACCAGCATACGCAAACTGGTAGAAACGCAAGAATACAGCCTCGTCGACGTCCTGTAACTCCACACAAATATATAGTTCTGTCTTCTATTCTACCAAAGCATACAGCGAGGCAGACGCACGCAAGACAACTCCCAGATGCATGCCCACCTCTGTTCTGGAACTTGTGATGGAAAATTTAACATGTGGTTGAGTCAGAAGTCTGTGCTCTGGCGTTAGTGAGGGACGGTGCCTGTGAACGTGGCTCTTACAGCTTCAAATCCTCTGCCTTGAAATTTTGAAGGCCATATTGGCCGTGGATAGCATTAGATAATGAGGACATGTCGCGACTCATTTGATGCCATCTAGTAGGGAAGTATTTGGCAATGCCGTGCCTTTTATTATTGTGCCAACGACGTTGTGATGGATCT